TTTCTGGTTCCTTGTCCATTGTTGTATTGTTGTTATTATCTCTTTCAGTATTATACCTTTAACTATCATTTCCATCTATGATTCTTTTTTTGTTGCATTTATATTCGCTGCTCATTCTTTGATTCGCTTGTCTTTTAATTTCATATATTGCATCACCTTCATAGTTATTATTTGTTTTATTAGCTCTGATAACATTATTCTGTTTTCTTCGCATAGAAAAATATGTGCGTTGTTCTCAATTGCTTGATTACATTTGATACTCCTGTTGTGCATATATATGTCTGTTCATCTGATATTGTTTCTCTCTATTGTTGACAATTCTTGTGCCTATATTTTATTATAGAATTATCAGATGTTGTAGTCTTCATAGTTAATTAAGCCTCCAAATAGTTTTGTAAAGTGTTTTATTTTTATAGTCTGTTTCCATACTATTTTCTCGTATTCTTTTATTGTGCTGCAATTTCTGTTCAATAAATACCATTCCACAATATATTTTCTTTCAAATATATTTTTGATCTCAATCCTTATGTTCTCTACTATGGGTTTATTGTTTAACTTGTATCTGGTTCCTGTTGCTGTGTTGTCCATTATGTCATTCTTTTCTCTGATCCAGTTATGTTTTGTTTTCTTTGCTTCTGTATCTACTTCTTCAATGTATGTGTTGCTTCTCCTTTTCTTGTGTGTCAGCTCTATTGTTAACTCTTTCTGTTTGATGGTTTGTTTTATTCTTTCTGCTATTTCATTATATTTCTTTTTGTCCTTGGTATATTTGATAGCCTTTATTGCTGTTTTGTTGTCTGTAATGATTCTTGTTATACTTTTGTGTATAATACACATCAGTGTGATTATTATTGCGATTAGTTTTGCTTTTAGCGCTATTGACCTTTCTTTTAGTTTTATGCTTATACACTTTGTTTCCTCTTGTATGTATATATTGATAACTTTGATCACTATAGTATAATTACTGTTTGCAGTACCTGCACCTGTATATGCAACTGTTTCTGTCCATGTGATTATCTGTTTTCTGAATTTGCTGACAATATTTTTAATGCTAAAGTTTGTGAACAGACTTTCTGCTTGGAATTTTTCCAGTAGTGCAATTACTACTTCTGTTTTAAGGTCTTTGTCACTGGTTTCTCTTGTTTTTCTTATCATTTCGATACTTGTTGGTAATATTAACATCTTTTAGTTCACTTCTTGTATTATTAGAATCTCTTGTATTTTGTTTTGTTCTTGCTACTTATATACTTACACAGCTTGTATTCTTTGCATGTATCATACATATGTTTCCTCTTTTGTCAGCGTATGTGTTCTTTATACAGCCTTCATATGGTTCTATTGGAAATGCCTGTGGCTGCTGGGTATAGTGTCTGAATATTGTGGTGTCTTGTTTTCTCTTCCTTAGTTTCCCTATTGTTTGTTCTGTTTCACTGTTGACCAGCATCAAGTCTCTGTTTTGATTTTTAAGTTTCTTTGATATAAACTTACATGTTTCGTACCACACTTTGATTGTGTTTGTTCTACTACCAGGTGTCTTGAGCATTCTTCTTTGTGTATCTGTTGGGTCTGTTAATTTCTCTCTTATTTCCTTATAGAATGTTGGGATGTGATCTCCTGCTTTTATATTGAGAGTGACTTCATGATGCTGATCCATGTGTTGCATTTGGTTATGTCCATGTTGAAGAGTTGTTTTATTCATTTTAGTTTTCAATTTCTAAGTCTCTCTCTGTTTCTTCTGAATTATTCTCTTTCCATTGTTTCTTCTATAGTTGTCAGCTTGTATGTGTCTTTATATATGCTTTCCTTTCTTGCTTCCATTGTACTCCTGATGTTATATATTTGGCTGTTTCTCAGCATGTCATATGTAAAGTTTTGATTGTTTCTAAACAGCTTTAGACATGTATCTGTTACTGGTATTGGTGTTTATGCTTTCTATTGAATGTTCCTTATGTTGGCTTTGGTAATGTATGAAACTATATTGTGATGATTAATAAGTGCTTTTGTGTCTGTTGCATGTTTCTGAAATTGTCTAGTCTGTAAGTCAAATATGTTGTACCCTAGGCAGCTGTGAAAGATAGTATTAGAGGCTGTTGTTGCAAAATCTAGTTTGTGTTTCACTATATGTCTTATTTTTTGGTTTAATTTGTCAACTTCCCTGTTTGAGAGTATCATGTCATTGAGAAGATACTCCAGTTTCAGGAACAGCACATGATTCAGTATATATACTATCTATTTGTCTGTTATTTTCTTTCAAGTTTGTTGAGAATTTACATTAACTATTCTTTCAATAACTGCTTTTAGAAGCTTTTGCTGCCTTTCTTTTGTATCCAAATCCCCAGGTACCTTACAAAATCATCTGTATACTTGATCTCTATCCCATTTAGATTGATTGTAAGTGGGTTGTTTTGTCTGAACACTATTATGTGTGTTTTCTGGAAATTTGCTTGGATGTCAGTCAGCTTGTAAAATGACTCTACTGTTTTTACTGTTTTTATGATGGTCTGCATTTCCTCTCTGTTGTTTGCTATCCATGTGGTGTCATCTATATATGCAACAACTGATATGTTGATTCTTTCCATATGTATATATAGATTGTTTTGTGTTGTCTTCTTCATGATGTATATATAGCCCTTTATTTTAGATATTGTAGTAATGAAGGGATCATAATAAATTCTCCAAAGGATTGGGGAAATCATATCCCCTTGTTCAATTCCTCCTAGAACTTCGTAAGAGTCCATGTTTCTGACTATTGTGATGACTGTGTTCCTTTAATCATTAAAATTTTGCTTATTAGATTGATATAAATAATTGGTATCTTGAATTTCTTTAGTACAAACTTGAGTATGTTGATATTGATACTGTTATACACTTTGAACATGTCTTGGAAGACTTTCCAGTATTCTTTATTATGAAGCTTGGCATTTTCAATTATACTATTAACTATTTTAATTAGTTCTCTTGTACTTATTTAGGTAATGCTGTCCAATTGTATTCTGATAGGATTGGATGAGCTGTTAGAACTCTTGATAATCTTAGTGTCAATATTTTTGTGAATATCTTTTTTATGGACTTTAACAATATGATTGGTCTGACTTTTGATAGATCAATTTTTCAGTCTGATGTCTTGGGAATTGGATATATAGTGCCATATTTCTATTCTGTGGATATCCTTTTAATCACTATTACATTGTTGCATATCTTCCTAATTATCTCTGTTGCTTGTGCTTCTAGGTTTTTTAGAGCTTTGTATGATATTTGTGATGGTTCAGGTGTAGATTTATTGTTTGTATTTCTTATTACTTCTGTAAGTTCCTCAATGTTGATCTTGGATGTTAGATCCTTGTATCATTCTATCTGAATGTGTCTTATAGATACATATTCATGTATCTATTTATCTATAATTATGTCGTATGATCCTACTTTTGTCCAGTTGACAAATGCTTTCTAACTGTTTGCTTGATTTTTTCTTCATCCAATATGACTTCTGGTTTCTCTTCTTGTATAATAATTTTATTGAGTATGATCTGTGTGTATTTATTATTCAAGATGCTGTTTATCATTTTTTTTATCTGTCTTTATTCAGTTCATTCTCATCTTGAGAACTGTGCTTATCACCTTCTTCTTGGATTCTGCTAGCAGTATTTTGTATATGTCTTGTATGGTTTCCTTGTATTTTTAACTTCTGTAAGCCATTCAGTCATATGGGATGGTGTTCATATTGTGAGCTAACCGATTTGCTCACTATAAATGTTTATAAATTTCTGGATTCTTTGCAGTATATGCATCTTTATGTTATTTTTGATAAAATCCTTGGCTCCCTGTATGATCTGCAATATATCTATCAAGCCAATTGCATTTGTTACGTTAATTGTTACTTTTTTGTTTCTGCTGTAGCATTTATGTTTTTTAACTTTCTTGATGTGTTTACTGGTTGCTGTGAGAATAATGTCTCTTAGTTTGTTCCACTGGGTATTAATGTTTATCTGTGTATCCTTTCTTCAAATATTGGCCACCTCTGCGATTTTTTGTCAATCTCCTCTGTTCATGCCTTCCACTTGTATGATTTGGTTGCGATTCAGTTGTATTTTATATTCAGTAATCTTCTTTTGTTTGATTGTTTATTTGTACATAACTTGGGAAATGTAATGTGTATGGCAATCTTGTGATCTATATTGTGCATTTGCTTGAGTGTAAAGAGAATGTCTGCAGTTGTTATTATGCTGCTGCCTTTGTTTGTGATCCATATTTGATCTATTCTACTTTCACTACATGCTGAGTTCTCTCATGTGTATTTTTTCCTAAGCGGATGTATGTTTCTGAATGTATCTGCTATTTCTGCTATCGTTAGATTATTAATTAATAAGCTATTGCTGTGCCATCTATCTTTCCTGTCTTTCTTGTTAGGTGAGAATCTATCTAGCAAGAATCTGTAAACATTATTTAGGTCTCCCCCAAAATGACTTCCCAGTTGTCTTTGTTTGCTTTGTCTAATCATTTGTTTATTTCAATTTCAAGTTTTGCTCTTTTTTATGGAACTGCATATGAGTATACACTGATTATTCTAATATATTTCTTCCTGGGAAATGCTAAGTTAAGATAAATTGCTCTTCCTGTGATAGTCTGTTTTCATATAATTCTTTTCAAGATATGTATTTTGATACTTATTCTGATTCCTTTCCTTATCTGTTGTGTGCCGGATATCCAATATGTTATGTATAGGTTATTTTTTCAGTATTTTTCATTTTGGACTTTGCTGTTTGTTTCCATGATGATGACTACATCCCAATCATAAATATATCATTGTACAAACCAAATACCTCTTTTGCTGTCATTGTTGATTTCTTTTATGTGGTTGTTGTCTTTGAGTAATAATAAATCAGTGGTGTGTCACGAGTTTACGTTTGATCAATTTGCTTTATTGCTTTGATTTTTCGTTCTTTGTGGCCTGTTATTATGTTCATGCTCTTCTGAGACTTGTTTGCTTGTGCTTGGTTTGCTACTCATTGTTGAAAACTAGTCAAGTCAGGAAGGCTGTTTTGGTCTAAAAGATTATTATTGAAGAGTTCAGCGAACTGTGTCATCGTTTCTTCCATTTTGTTGAGTTTTTTGTTGATTAGGCTTTGAGTTGTTTTGATGTCTTCTGTCTCGATTAGTTGTTTTGTTGTGGAGATTGTGGAATCAGAAGTGGAGTTAGAGATGAGATCAGAGGTGGATTCAGTGTTTTCTTCCATTTCATCCATGTGTTTGTATATTGCATTTTCCTCTAATGTGCTAACTTTTTTTTCTAGTTGATCTATCTAGTTTTGTACTTCTGTTATTGTTTTTTGTATATGGTCAACTAGGGCAAGGAGCTTGCCATTTAAGGGCAGTGTATATTGGTTCCTTGAGTTACCTCAGTATAACTTCTGTTGAATCCATCATGCCTATACTATACATGTGGTAGAAATTGGTAGATCCTTGACGCAATTGACGCAATTATTTGACGCAATTAATTGAGTCACTATTAAAACATATAAAATAATTGAGTCAGACGCAATTATTTTTGAGGACTTTGACAATTGAATCAACAGCAAAATAATTTACACCACATGTATAGCCTATACTGGTTCTTGTTGCTATAGTGTGTTTACTCTTGATATGTGGCAAATCTGACTCTGACTGTATTCTATGTTTTGTGCGAGAGTTGTTCAGAGGTTTAACATTACAGTTTGCAATCATGTGTTGGGTGTCCCTGCAGTAGTAGCAGAGTTTCGCTGTTCTAGCCACCCATGTGAGCTTGTGTCCTTTAAAATCGATATCATTTGCTGTTGCTTTGGTAAGGTCTTCATGGGAGATGAAATTTAAACTTGTAAACCTTCTAAATTTTTCAATTGTTTGTGATGTGTAACACGCTTTAGCGCCGACTTGTTGCATGATATCACTGAGGTCTTGTTCTGTTATCAAGTCTAAAAACTTGGTTAGTTTGATGCTGAATTCGTTTCTTTCTAGTCTTTTTTCTCTTGTATAGTAGTATGGAAACATTCTTATTGTTGTGTCCTCTATTATTACTGATCAATCATTTATGGCTGTCATAGTCCAATAGGTGAGTGAAAATTACTATCACTGACTTGTGTGGTCCTGTTTTTTGCATCTGGATATACTCAATAGCATCAAATTTGATAGATCCTGTTGTGATATCTTTCTTGAAAAAATGTTGAGAATATCCCAGATTCTAACTGATCTGTGATTGATTTCATAGGTGCTAAGTGTTGATGCTAATCTTGGTTTAAAGTTTTCAAACTTCAAGATTGGATGTGTACATGCTTTTACAGCATCTGTATAGTTATTGAAAATAGCCACGATGTTTGATTCTCCTGTTGGCTCTTCCACTCTGATGTGTTTGAGAGAGGGCATACTTGCCATTTTTTTTCATATAAATCAAATTTTTTTCTGGTTGTCTTTTCTGGATACTTGGTCAAGTGTAAAGAAGACTTTGCTACTGCAAAGTGTGTTCACATTTTTGTTGTTGCTGTTGATGTTATTGATGCTATTATTGTTGCCCTGGGCTATAGTATCTGATTCTTTTCCTTTTCTTTTCTTGGAATAGATGAAAGTTTT